AAAACTGACCAGTCCCCTTGGTGGGCCGCAATTACCCCAGACCCACCCAGTCACCTGGGTGGGAGTTACAAGACCATGGCTAGAAAGGCCACACAGAAAGCAATCCATTATGCTACAACTACTTAGCCGGTAAGAGAAATGAAGTCTTCATAAACCAAAACCAAACCTGTTGCTGTCAAGTCGATTCTGACTCACAGTGACCCTATAGTACAGGGTAGAACTGCCCTGTAGGGTTTCCAAGGAGTGATTTGTGGATTTGAACTAACTACTGACTTTTAGGTTAGCAGCTGAGCTGCACCACCAGGGCTCTGAAGTCTTGATACAGGCTACAATATGGATGGAACTTGAAGACATTATTCTGAGTGAAATAAGTCAATCACAAAAGGACAAATATTGTATGACCTTACTTATATAAAAAGACAAGAAAAGACAAATGTATAGAGACCAAAGTTTATTAGCAATTACCAGGGGTGGGGGGGCGGGAGGGGGCGTTTATCGGTTATGGATTACTGAGTTTTGGTTTCCAGCAATGGAAAAATAGCGTTGATTAAGGGTAAGGTTGCACAGCTGGTTATTGTAATTGCTATCAATAAGTTGTACACCTGTAAAAAATTGAATTGGCAAAAGTTGTATGATAGATAAATTTACAACAATGACTAAAAAAAAAAAAAAAGAGCAGCTGCTGAGGCTGCTTATTGTCACCAAACACCTCATGGAATTTGGTTTCTTGGTTTGAAGGTTTAGGGTCATGGTTTCATGGGACATCCCAGTTAAGTGGACTAATAACGTGTTTAGTGCTTCTCTTCTACCTCCTAGTTCATTGTGTAGTGCTTGGGGTCTTAGAAGCTTGCAAGGCACAACAATTTATCTCTATTTGCCTGGGGCAACAGAAGAAAAAGGAGAATCAGGAATAGGAAGAGGATATGAGACCAGAAGAACTGGATGGTGCCCGGCTACCATTACTGAAAATTTTAATAAAAGATTCCATAGAAAAATCCTGATCAAAAGGGGGAAAATGCAGAGCAGAATTTTAAATTCTCATGGACTCCAGACTTCCTGGAGCCATGAAGGTTGGATGAACCCCTGAAACTATTGCCCTGAGAAAATCTTTAAACCTTAAACCTAAAATATCCCATAAAGTCTTTGTAAAACCAAACAGTAGTTTAGTTAACTAGTAAAAAATGTCTGCCTTGAGCATTATACTCAATTTTAAGATTTATTTATATGGGATCAAATTGACAATAACAATTCGAAAGATTAAATAAGAACCTTACAGGGCAGTGAGTTTATGTTAATGGAGGAGGAACAATTCAGAAAAGGAGGATGAGAACAGTCACACAACTTGAAGAATGTAATCGATGTCACTGAATTGTACATGTAGAAATTGTTGAATTGGTGTATGTTCTGTGTATATTCTCAACAGCAACAACAAAAATAAATTATTAAAAAATATGTATATATGCATTTATTCCTTTTTAATAGAAAATTATAAAGTAAAAACCCAAAAAGGTCATTTTCTCCTCTACCCAGACGGTGTAAAAACTGAAATACATGCTCATTGTTAGAACATTCCAACAGTATAAAAGCATGCAGAATGAAAAGTAGAAGCCTCTCTCACTCGTGTCCAACTCCCCAAAGGTAACCACTGTAACACTTTCTTGTGATTCTGCTCAGAATTTTTTTCTTTTTTTTTTACTGTAATGTGTCTATTTTTTTATTGTACTTTAGATGAAGGTCTACAGAACAAATAATTTCTCATTAAACATTTAGTACACATATTGTTTTATGACAGTGGTTACCGACCCCATGACATGTCAGCACTCTCCCCTTCTCGACTGTGGGTTCCCTATTACCAGCTTGCCTGTCTCCTCCTGCCTTGTCATCCTTGCCTCTGGGCTGGTGTGTCCCTTTAGTCTCATTTTGTTTTATGGGGCTGTCGAATCTTTGGCTGAAAGGTGAACCTCGGGAGTGCCTTAGTTACTGAGCTAAAAGGGTGTCTGGGGGCCATACTTTCTGGGTTTCTCCGATCTCTGTCAGGCCAGTAAGTCTGGTCTTTTTTTGTGAGTTAGAATTTTGTTCTACATTTTTGTCCAGCTCTGTCCAGGACCCTCTATTGTGATCCCTGTCAGAGCAGTCAGCGGTGGTAGCTGGGCACCATCTAGTTGTGCTGTACTCAGTCTGGTGGAAGCTATGGTAGTTGTGGTTCATTAGTCCTTTGGACTAATCTTTCCTTTGTATCTTTAGTTTTCTTCTTTCTCCCTTGCTCCCTATGGGGTGAGACCAGTGGAGTATCTTAGATGGCCGCTCACAAGTTTTTAAGACCCCAGATGCTACTCACCAAAGTAGTATGTAGAACATTTTCAGAATTTTTCTTTTGTTTATGTATAAATCCTCATCTATCTGTCTGCTTACATCTTCTATAAAATCTGAACCAAAGAAATCATACTGTTCACACTATCCCTTACCTTGCTTTTTTTTCTAATTAAAATATTTTGGAGCTCACCACAGATCAGCATATCCAGATCTACACCCTTTCTTTTTAATAGTTATTAAATAATTTAATATTTGTAAAGCACTTGGAACAATGCTTGGCTTGTAGTAAGCATTATGCCAGTATTTGTGAAATAAGTGAGTGCATATATGAAAATTGCTGCGTGGCATTCCACTGTATGCATATACCCTATTTTACTGTTCATGGACACTTGTGTCTGTTGCTGTAACAAACATGGAAGACATTAACATCCTTGTATGCGTATCTTGAGGGCTGTACTTTGGGTATGGTGATCAGTACTTTACTTTGGGTAGCAATGGTGTGCACGGAGCAGAAACAGAAGCCAAAAGCAATAGAAAAGTTAGTGATCATGGAAGAGCAGGAAATGGACAGGAATTGGGAATTTTGCCTGGAACCTGTAATCATGAAATTATAGATCTCAGATCTAGACGGAACTGTAGCATTGTTTGTTCCAACTTTGCGCCCTCTGAGCAGGGAACGTATTACATCCGATGTTTCCAAGCTGCGTTGAGTTGCTGAGGCTCCACAGTGAGCTGGGAGTGGGAGTGGGAGAGAAGGGAGCAGTGTTGCGAGAACTTTAACATTTTTAGAGGAAACCCTGGGAACTACTAGCTCGAAGTACTTCACAGTTTTAACTGTAGATTGGGAGGACATAAATACTTATTAAGCTGTTTGAACCTAACTACTTAATGAATGGAAGTGCTAAGTATTTCTTTTGTCCTGGGGGACCATGAAAAGTTACTAAGACACTAAAGGCGCCGTAAGTCAAGAAAGTTTGGGGACAACTATATGTATCTTTACCCATCAGAATTCATAGCTGCAAGTGAGAGAAACCAAACTCACACTGGCTTAACCAAAAACTGAATTATTGGCTCATGTATCTGGGATGTTCAGCCTCGGCTGGGTTCAGGCGCTCAAATAAGGTCATCAAGATTCCATCTCTCTTTTCTATGACAAGCTGTCTCCACATGAGGCAAGACAGTCCCAGGCGCATACTTTTCCAGACTGACATCTTTTCAATTTAGCAATCCCAGCAGAAAGAACCATCTTTCCCAATAGCTTGTGCATAAAAGCCCTGGGGAGGACTTTGGTTGACTTAGCCTAGGTCACTTTCCTATCCCTATATTGTGGCCAGGATTATGGAGATTTTTAATGGCCAAGCCTAGGTCACATATTCATCCGGTGCTCTGGTGAGTTCCCCTGCTAGACCACATGGAATAGGTAGGTTCTCCACAAAAAAAGAGTCCCTGGTGGTGCTGCTAACTGAAAGGTTGGAGATTCGAGTTCACCCAGAGGCATCTCAGAAGAAAGGGCTAGTGATCTACTTCTGAAAACATCAGCCATTGAAAACCCTGTGGAGTGCAGTTCTACTCTGACAAACATGGGGCCGCCATGAGTTGGAATCAACTCGACAGCAACTGGTTCTACGGAAAAGACGGGATTCTGTTACCGGAAGAAGGGGAAAGAGATTGTTGTTATCAGATGCCATTAAGTCGATTCTGACTCAGTGACCCCATGTGACAGAGTAGAACTGCCCCATAGGGTTTTCTTGGCTGTAATCTTTACTGGAGCAGATCACCAGGTCTTTTTCCCACAGAGTGGGTAGGTGGGTTTGAACCCCCAACCTTTCAGTTAGCAGCCAAGCCTTAGAGTGCTTAACTGTTGCACTACGAAGGCTCCAGGACCAAAAAAATAGATTTCCCATTTTACAGATGAGGGAAGAGGACTGGTAGCATGGTAGTTTAATGGTTAAGCATGGAGGCTCTGGGGTCCCACCAATCTGGGTTTACTTCCTTGGACAAATTAATTTTAGAGTCCTCATTTTAAAATGGAAATCACTGAAGATACCCAAACCAAAAACCAAACCTGTTGCTGTCAAGTTGATTCTGACTCATAGGGCCTATAGGACAGACTAAAACTGCCCCATAGGGTTTCCAAGGAGCTCCTGGTGGATTTGAACTGCCGACCTTTTGGTTAGCAGCTGTATAAATAAAAATAAGGATGATAGTAATAGTCCTTAGCTCATAGGGTTGGTAGTTGAGGTGAGGACGAAGTGAGTTAATACACATAAAGTGTCCAGTAGAGGGCCTGGCACACAGGACCAAAAACCAAACCTGTTGCTGTTGAGTTGATCCTGACTCATGGCGACTCCATGTGTTACAAAGTAGAACTGTCCCATAGTGTTTTCTTGGCTGTAGTCTTTATGGAAGCAGATTGCCAGGCCTTTCTTCCATGGTGCTACTGGATGAGTTCTAACTGCCAACCTATAAATTAGTAGTCAAGCACAAACCCTTTGTGCCCCTCAGGGACCTTGACACATAGGGAGCCCTCAAGAAATGAAGCTATTATTGTTAATGAGTAAGGGTCCTAAAAGATCACACAGCTGGTAAATGACTCAAGCTTCTGACTCCTGGAGCAGATTTCCTTTCAACTCTAGAGGCAGGCAGAGGGTACACAACAGTGATTTCCCCTTTCCTGTCTGTTGCAGGTGAAGCATGGATGCTGGCAGCCAGGTCCCGGTGGACGTCATGCTCCCCAAGCATGTCCTGGACATCTGGGTCATTGTCCTCATCATCCTGGCCACTATTGTCATCATGACCTCCTTGCTGCTGTGCCCAGCCACTGCTGTCATCATCTATCGCATGCGGACTCATCCTGTCCTCAATGGGTCTGTCTGAGAACCTCCCAAGAGGGCTAGGTGAGGGATGAGGACAGGAATCCCCTCCCTCAGCCTCTGCATCTTTCCCAGAAAAGCAGCAGGAAGGGACTTTGGAGCTGGATATGTGAGAGGAAACCTGAGTTCTAGTTTTGATTCTGCTACTGGCCAGCTGTGTGTTTGGTCAAGGCACCTAACTCTATGAGTCCCAAGTTCCTTATGATTCAAGTGAGGGCGATGATCCCTGGCCTTCCTACCTCATGAGAGGCGAGAACCAAATGACTTAGTAGAGGTTAAAGCTGTTTATGAGCAGTCAAGCCACCACACATATACAAGGTGTTATTGATGAGTGCTGAGAAGCGTTGAAGACCTAAACAACCTGATTGCTGATGATGAACTTAAAGGTGGTGAGAGTGACATTGGGGCAGGGCCAGTGCCCTCAGGTCAAACCAAGCAAAGGGCACTCTGTCCTCATTCCAAGGGGCCAGCAGCACATAGGCTCAAAGTTCCTTTCTTTGAGGTGCCAATCCCTCTAGTTTTCTCAGATGGGAGACAATTGAGGGATGGGGGGATGGGGGGAACTCCCCAGGACCTTCTCTGCACCAGAATCTCTGCCCCTGTACAACCTGGAGGAAGGCTCTGCCATTTATTCTCAATGCCAAGCTGAGAGAAGGGCTGATATGCTTTCTTTTTGCACTGGAGTCTCAGATCTCTGTTACCTCTGGCATTCAAGCAGTGCTGGAAAATGCAGGGGATTGAGTTCCCTGCCCAGCTTTTGGGATCTCTGGTCCTCATCTCTTTGTGTTTCCCACACCAGAGGAACTTTGTCCCCTCTGTCTCAGCTTCTGCTATAATTAGCTCAATTGTATAATGTGTCTGTCCTTCACTCCCTCCCACCCACACTACCACCAATGCAAGATACACACTTACACTTTAAGAGATGTTCCTAGGGCTTTGGAACCGACTCAGAACAATGATGGTTATTTTAGATGCTATGGCAGGTGTATTTATATAGAGAGATTTCTGGACAAGTTAAGCTCTTTGGTACCAAAATCAGGAATATCCTGGGATTTACTATATAAGAAGAAAGCACAGATATAAGGATATTATTGTGTGGAAACAATGCTTTTACTCTGATCTGATTTCATTGATGTACACAACCAATTTCCAATAAAATACTAGAATGAGCATGTCTGAGGTCATTCTTTAAAGAGCACCTATTTAGGAACTCAGGTAAAAGAATTCCATTGAATTTATGGGCCTTAGAGACGTTTGAGGAGCCCTGGTGGTGCAACGGTTGAGCACTTGGCTGCTAACCAAAAGGTTGGAACTCACCCAGCAGCTCCATGAAAGAAAGGCCTGTCGATCTGCTCCTGTTAAGATTACCACCTAGAAAACTCTATGGGGCAGTTCTCTGTCACATGGGGTCACTATGAGTCAGAATTGATTTGATGGCACCCAACAACAACAAGAACAACAGAGACAGTTTGAATGTAGGAACAGAAAGGGAAAGAAGAATCAAATTGACTTTCAGGGTTTTAGCTTGGATAAGTGGGTGAATAGTTGTACAGTTTACACAGTTGTAGAATGAAGAGGGAGGAAAAACATTTGGAAGATGATGAACTTAATATTGGGTGTGTTGAGTTTGAGGTGCTTGTGATATTCAGGTGGACCTGTTCAGGAGCAGATGGAAACCTGAGTCTGTCCCTTGGGAAAGATCACACAGCTAGAGTTATGGCTTTGTGGCTTATCAGCAGATGGTAGATGATGCCAGACAAGTGGACAGGATCACCCAGGCAGAGTGTAGGGAGTGAGAGGAGGGAGGTGCTGAATGCAGGGCTTGAAGAACACTAGGGAAGGGAAAAGAGTAGAGAGTGGCGAGGAAGAAGAAGCAATGGAAAAGATCGTATGATGTGAGCTGATATGAGAAAGATACAATCGCAGTTGGTGGGTTGAGGAATGAATGAGAGGTTAGGAAGTGGGAACAGTGACAACAGACATCTCTTTCTAGGAAGAGGGCTGTAGTATAGAGGCAAGAGTTGGAGAAAGATATCTGGAGAAAAATGGTCTAGGGGAGATAAATACGTTTAATAAGGTTCTAATTGGTTTGCTCAGCATGTAATCTAGCTTTTTTTCTAGTATGCGTTCCTTGTTGGCTAGAAAGTGAAAAACTATATTGAAAGTGAAAAAACTACATTTCCCCAACTCTACTGCTAGAGACTCAGACGTGATTTAGGTTTTGCTAATCAGAGGCTAGGAGTCCCTGGGTGGTGCAGACGGTTAAGTGCTCTAATGCTAACTGAAAGGTCGGTAGTTCGAACTTACCCAGAAGCACCTCGGAAGACAGGACAGGTGATCTGCTTCTAAAAGGTCACAGCCTTGAAAACCCTATGGAGCAGTTCTACTCTACACACATGGGATCACCATGAGTTGGAATCAACTGGACGGCACCTAACAACAACAGAGTTGAGAGAGTTACGGCAGTGTGAGACATTCATGGTGCTGGTGTGAACCCAGCAGCTGCAGCATGGCCTTGGAGCCAAGTCAGTGGCTTTCAGATACCTGGATTGCAGTTGAGATGTGACAGTCCCATAGTCCACAGCCTAAACTATAGCTTTCTTATTCCCTAGCTTTCTGATTATGGCAAAAGTAGCAGCAGCCAAGAGGGCCAGTTCTGCAGTGTTGGATCTGGGAGATATTCTGGTAACCCTTGCTTTGTATGTCAGCAAAAACAAGGGAAACCCTCCATGAGATGGATTGACACAATAACAACAATGGACTCAAATATACCAGCGATCATGAAAATGGTGCAGGACTGGACAATGGTTTCTTCTGTTATACACAAAGTCTCCATGTTTCAGAGCTGACTTGACAGCAACTAACGATTTTTAAGCACGTAATTCCCTATATTAAAGTCCTTTTTACTTAAATTTTCTAGAGTTCACCTTGTTGATCCAGATGGAAGAAATTCTGTTAATTCCTATCAGTTATAGACCTAGCAATTCACGTCTAAGTCCATCATGTGATCCAGGATTGGTATGGAAAGAGCTCTGTTAATGAGGAGGCAGATAGTCTTGGAGAAATAGAGATGGTAAGACACTGGGGTCTCGGGAGGTGTCCGAGAGGTCTGTTGGTAGTCATGGAATGAGAACTTTGCTTGATTGGCAGTTTCTGGAACCATACCCATAAGAATGGGGAGATAGTTACGTGAGCATCGTCCAAAAGTCTGAGGACAAGGTACAGTGATTTTTGAAAAGAGAGTGAGAATACAAATTTCAAATCTAAATTTGTTGGTCACTTTGAAAAATAAAGGTTCTAGTAACGAATAACAGAGTTTTAAAAATGGTATCTATTGAGACCAAATTACTGGGCCGAGGGCTGTGGGGACCATGGTCTCAGGAAACATCTAGCTCAATTGGCATAACATAGTTGACAAAGAAAATGTTCTACATTCTACTTAGGTGAGTAGCGTCTGGGGTCTTAGAAGCTTGTGAGCGGCCCTCTAAGATACTTCACTGGTCTCACCCTGTCGGGAGCAAGGGAGAAAGAAGAAAACTAAAGACACAAGGAAAGGATTAGTCCAAAGGAGTAATTCACCACAACTACCACAGCCTCCACCAGACTGAGTCTAGCACAACTAGATGGTGCCCGGCTACCACCACTGACTGCTCTGACAGGGATCACAATAGAGGGTCCTGAACAGAGCTGGAGAAAAATGTAGAACAAAATTCTAACTCACAAAAAAGACCAGACTTACTGGCTTGACAGAGACTGCAGAAACCCTGAGAGTATGGCCCCCAGACACCCTTTTAGCTCAGTGATGAAGTCACTCCTGAGGTTCACCCTTCAGCCAAAGATCAGACAGGCCCATAAAACAAAACGAGACTAAAGGGGCACATCAGCCCAGGGACAAGGACTAGAGGGCAGGAGGGGACAGGTCGAGAAGGGAGAATGTTGACATGTCATGTGATTGGTAACCAATGTCACAAAACAATATGTGTACTGTTTAATGAGAAGCTAGTTCCGTAAACCTTCATCTAAAGTACAATTAAAAAAAAAGAATAAACAAAAGCAAAGAATTGAAAATGAGATTCTAAAAAAGACTTGGAATTGTTAAGATTAAGTATAAAGTCAAGCAATTAATATGTAATAATTCCTAAATTATTCCTTCTGCTTTATATTTTATCTTGATATATGTGTTCCTGGGTGGTACAGTTTGTGCTCAACTACTAACCTAAAAAAAAAAAGGATCTACTGAAATTCATGCTTGTGTTACCAGTTGTGTGAAATGATTTAAATTTAAAGAAAGTAAACAGGATATATGTACTCTTATAGTAAGATCAATAACTGAACATATCTTCCATGTACTCCTAATATTTGTCAGTTCGTGTTTCCACATTGCTTTTAACTTTTAACATCTTTACTTAAGCTATCAGAAATAATTTTTTTGAAGAAAATGATGTTTGGTAAATCAGACAAAACATTATTTCTTATAATAACCCCAATTCCTCTCCTACCTCTAACTCCAGTAATAACCAACAAATTTGACAAATACTAGAGAAAAGAGAAACAATTGCCATATTTATATAGCCACAGAGGAGTGGTCTGATGCATGTGGTACATTCAAACAATGGAATAAAACATGGCAACCGAACATTATTATAATGTTAAGCAACAAAAAGCAAAACAGAAAATTGCACATACTCAGTGGCATCTCCAGAATTTTTATATAATGGACTACGTATGGGGTGATAATCCCGTCAGAAAGTACAACACAAACTGCTATAGTTTTCCATAGCCCTTAACCTAAGACTGGTCAACTGCCCATAGAAAAGAATTAGGGGGCTGCAAGTAGAGATAATGGGGTTCCATAGCTCTTTAGCCCATCATTTAGTACTGCCACTGCATCAACGAATTATATTTCAAAGTACACAATATATTTGGATTTAGAAAAGACCTTTTTAAAGTGTTAAAAAGCAAAGATGTCACTTTAAGGACTAAGGTGTGCCTAACCCAAGCCATGGTGTTTTCAATTGCCTCATATGAAAATCACATGTGAAAGCCGGCCAATGAATAAGGAAGACTAAAGAAGAATTGATGGATTTGAATTATGATATTGTCAAAGAATATTAAATCTACCATGGACTGCCAGAAGAACAAACAAATCTGTCTTGGAAGAGGTACAGCCAGAATGCTTCTTGAAGCAAGGATGGCGAGACTTTGTCTCATATACTTTGGACATGTTATCAGGAGGAACCTGTCTCTGGAGAAGGACATTATGCTTGGTAGAGAGAGAGTCAGCAAAGAGGAAGATCCCCATCGAGATGGATTGACACAGTGGCTCCAACAATGGGCTCAAGCGTAACAATGATTGTGAGGATAGTGCAGGCCCGGGCAGTGTTTTGTTCTGTTGTACATAGGGTGGCTATGAGTCAGAACCTACTTGAGGGCACCTAACAACAGTAGCAATAAGCATCAAAACAAGGCTGGGAAGGAGCATTGAGAAGGTTAAAAGAGTTTTATTGGGGGTAGTGAGAATATGGTGATTTTTTCTTTGCATTTGATTCTTCATTAGTTGCAACTATCTACAATGAAATTATGGATACATGTATTGTTTGTTATAAATAAAAATTATTTCTGTGACACTCTGCACCATTTCTTATTGTAGGGGTAATTTCTGCTGTTATACTTCAGTTGTAACTGGGTTCATCAGACTTCTTTTTTTCAACCGAACCTGTGTTTGGAAACTGACATTTCAAGGGCATGCCTCCGTACATACCTACCCATTCCAAAGGAATGAAGTTTAGGAGATGTGTACCTGTATGTGTGTGTGCACATACGTGTTAAGGTGTAATGAGGGCCTCTTGAAGTGCACGTAGAGCATTTCATGTTGAGCTATTCACTTAACCACCCATTTGGCCATAAACATGTTTGGAAATAAACAAACTTGCTAGTATTACCTACCAAATATGCACAAAGCAAATCTCATTTCATTTCAGTTTTTGGTAATAATATTTACTATTAGTTGTCAATAATAAAAATTATTTTTAAATTTGTTGGTTGAAAGTTTTTTTTTTTTTTGCTTTCCATCCACAAATTTACTGTTTTTCCTCTATGGCAACGATTCTCTAACTTTCGTATGCACCAGAATCATCTGGAGAGCTTAAACAAATTAATAACTGCTTTGTGT